GGATTCTTAACCACTGCGCCACCAGGGAAGTCCCACCCAGAGACCCTTTTCATCTAAGGGTTTCTGACTGAATCCTGCCCAGCAAAGATAGTATAGGTCAACATAGCTGACGTGGGCAGTGCCCCAAGTCCTGGGACCTCCAGAATCCTTGGGTTCCCGCTCCTGGTGGGCAGCTCCTCCCTCTCTGAGCCATCACTTGGAGCCCCAAAGGCCTCTCTCTGGACTAGTCTGAGTGAGAGCTTGGTTGCCCTCCCAACTCCTCCCCAGACCCTCTTTTTCAGGTCATGCTGGCAGCTGTTGTCTTGCAGGGTCAGTTTTTAGGTGCCCAGGCACCATGTGGGGCTAGTTACTGTTTACCCGTTGTCACTGAGAAGAGCATGTCCCATGGCCTGTACTCAGGACCTCTGCCAGCTCATCCTCCTTGGGTTCCTGGAGAGGAATTAACTGCATCCCATCCACCTCCTTGTTCACTGGCTGCCCAGCCCCAGTGTGCAGACCCCAGTTGATTACCCCAGATGGACACCTTCTCACACAGCCCCAAGACACCCTAACCCAAGGAAGGGAGGGGCCCTGCCCACCAAGGGGTGGTGGTAGCAGAACTTCCTGCAGCTGAACACAGTGAAAGTGTCAGACCAGGCTTCTGGTGGCCAGTAGCAGAGGCCAAGGCCAGCTCTTTAAACCAAAAGGAAATTTCCACAATTATCAGCGTTCCTAGGGGATGGGCACCAGGAGCTCAGGGGGCCCTGTGGCAGGAGCCTGACTAGGATTACACTGCAGAACTGAGTGGCTTCTGCTGCTGTGGTCACAGGCAGGCCCCTGGCTATACCAGGGGCAGGTAGAAGAAGAAGTCAATCATTCGGGCTTCTGCAGCGGGAGCAGGGACTAGCAGTTACCTACCCTGGCAAGACTTGAATGGGAATTTCCCCTAAAGGGAGAGCATGGGGCTAGTGGGGAAGGGGTAGAGTCTAGACATCACATTGCCAAAAACAAAAACAAAATGACTACCTCTTAGCACAGGGTTGAACTGAATTGGAGAAGACTTTGAGCTGGGCAGAGGCAATGCCACCCGCATTACACACATATCCACTAACAACTTTTTTTTTTTTTTTGCGGTACGCGGGCCTCTCACTGTTGTGGCCTCTCCCGTTGTGGAGCACAGGCTCCGGACGTGCAGGCTCAGCGGCCACGGCTCATGGGCCCAGCCGCTCCGTGGCATGTGGGATCTTCCCGGGCCGGGGCACAAACCCGTGTCCCCTGCATCGGCAAGCGGACTCTCAACCACTGCGCCACCGGGGAGCCCCACTAACAACGTTTGAATCATACCTTTTCTTTCTTTTTGGCCGTACCCCACAGCCTGTGGAACTTCCCCGACCAGGGATCAAACCTGTGTCCCCTGCAGTGGAAGCGTGGAGTCTTAACCACTGGACCACCAGGGAAATCCAAATCGTACCATTTTAAAGATTAATTTGAACATGTTTTTTTTTTTTTTTCCATCTAGTATTGTGAGGATTTCTCCCATTTTATTAAGGGCTCTTCTATACACCATTTGTAACGGCTACATCACAGTGCGTTGTAAGAATGTATCATAAATCCATTAAGCCATCGGTCCCCAACCTTTTGGGCACCAGGGACCGGTTTCGTGGAAGACAATTTGGTTCAGGCAGTAACGCGAATGACGGGGAGCGATGGGGAGCGACAGATGAAGCTTCACCTGCTCACCCCACCGCTCATTTGCTGTGCAGTCTGATTCCTAACAGGCCATGGCCTGGTATCAGTCCGCGGCCTGGGGGTTGGGGACCGCTGTATTAAGCCACACTTCATTTCTGCCTTCTTTCTTTCTTTTTTCTCCTTTACTGTAACTAGCCCTGCAAGGAGCATCCTTTCTAGCTAAGACACTGAGCAAGGAGTATGCACCTTTTTTGAGGATCTCTTCCTTGTTGCCAAATGACTAGGAAGGCTGTGCCCACCATCCAGGCACACAGGGTATGGCAGCTCCTTAGCGTATTTTTGCCCCTGTTCAGAGTCTGACCCCACCCACCAACCCCCAGGGGGCTGCGGGCGAGGCTGAAAACTTGAGCTGGCTTACAGGCAGGGCCTGAGAACCAAGCCAGGCCACCTCCACCATCAGAGTCTTCCTGAGATCTGATAAGCATCTTATTCTTGAGTGATCCAAAATACCAGCTAAGGAACTCACCCCACGTCCTGCTCCGTGCTGTCTTTTCTTTTCTCCTGTCTTCTCTTCCTTCTTGCTCCCCCCTCCCTTTTCTCTCTCTTTCCTTTCTGTGTCTTCCCTCTAACTCTGGTCTTTTTGCTTTCCCTTCCTCTCTACTCTTTTTCCTTCACCTTTTAATTCCCCCCTGCCCCAGAATTCAGCCTTGTTTCTGTCTGTTTTCTCTTCTCTCCCCTCTGTCCTCCACCCACCACTCCTGTTGTGTGAGTCATAATTTCCCCAGGGAGATAAGGCAGCCTTTTCCTTCATGGGCCTTGATTTGAATGAGAGGTGAGTTTGACTCCCACAAAAGGCAAAGCTAACAGATCACAAAATTGGGAGCCGCACGGTACACCAGGGTGACTCAGGGCTTCCAGGTTGGGAGACACACGATGCATCAAGATTTCCTTAGAGGCTTTGTCCCCCCAAGGGCCAGCACACTGTGCCCGATGTCCTCAGGGCAGCCTTGGTGTATTGACAGCAGGTTGTGGGTAGGGACATCAGTTTATGATGTAGCGCCAGGGAAGAAACCCGCTCTCTGAGGGCAGATGCTGGGGACCCAGGAGCACAGCAGATCCAGGCCCCATGGCCATGTTTCTCATTGTGTGTTCTCCCATCACAATGATCAGGTAGGATTTTATAAAAATTCAGGTTGCTGGGCCCACGTGCATTCTTATTAAACCAGAATATCTGGGAATGGGGGTCAGAAACCTTCATGCAGAATGTGATGCCCAGGCTGATAAGTACCTGTTAGGTTTTTGAATGCACACACCCTATGTCTCAGCAACCCCACTCCTCAACTTTCTGCATGAGGATATTCGTTGTAGCATTGTTTGTTATCCAAACTTGGGAACACCCTAAATGTCTGTTAGTAGAGAATGGTTAAATAGATGATCATGTTTCCTACTGTAGAGTAATATTCAGTCATTTTTAAAAAATGGGGCATTTGGGACTTCCCTGGTGCTCCAGTCGTTAAGACCCCACGCTCCCAATGCAGGGGGCCCAGGTTCAATCCCTCATCAGGGAACTACATCCCGCATGCCACAACTAAAGATCCCACACACCTCAACTAAAGATCCTGTATGCTGCAACTAAGACCCATGCAGCCAAATAGATAAATAATATTTTTTTAAAATGGGGAATTCATAGAGACAGAAAGTACATTAGAGGTTACCAGGTGTTATGAGGGGAGGGGCAGGGGAGCATGGGGAGTTATTGCTTAATGGGTGCAGAGTTTCTGTTCGGGATGATGAAAAAATTTTGGAAATATAGTGGTGATGGTTGCTCAATATTGTGAATGTAATTAATGCCACTAAATTGTCCACTTAAAAATAGTTAAAATGGCAAATGTTTTGTTTTATACATATAAATAAATAAATTAAATACACACAAGTTAAAAAAAATGAATGAGGTAGACTCATATGCAGTAATATGGAAAGATACCCAAGATAGACTGTTAAGTGAAAATGGAAATTGTAGATGAAGATGATAGTAAGAATTATAAAATTTTGTGTGTGTGTGTGTGTGTGTGTGTGCACGCATTTGTGTGCCAGGAAAGGTCAGTAAAGAATCATATCACCCTCTTAAAAGTGTTTGTCACTAGAGGTGAGATTGATGGGACATACAGGAGAAGGAAGATTCTTTGTCCTTTCTGTGATATCCAAAATAAGTGCTGGGCACTGGTCAGAATGGCCATCACTAAAAACTCTACAAATAACAAATGCTGGAGAGGATGTGAATAAAAGGGAACCCTCTGCACTGTTGGTGGGATTCTAAGTTGGTACAGCCACTATGGAAAACAGTTATGGAGGTTCCTCGGAAAACTAAAAATAGAGCTACCATATGACCCAGCAATCCCACTCCTGGGCGTATATCCAGACAAAACTCTAATCCAAAAAGACACATGCACCCCTATGTTCATAGCAGCACTATTCACAATAGCGAAAACATGGAAACAACCTAAAAGTCCATCAACAGAGGAATGGATAAAGAAGATGTGGTACATATATACAATGGAATATTACTCAGCCATAAAAAAAGAATGAAATAATGCCATTTGCAACAACATGGATGCACCTAGAGATTATCATACTAAGTGAAGTAAGTCAGAAAGAGAAAGACAAATACCATATGGTATCACTTATATGTGGAATCTAAAATATGACACAAATGAACCTATCTATGAAACAGAAACAGATTCATGGACATGGAGAACAGACTTGTGGTTGCCAGGAGGGAGGGGGTCAGAGGAGGGATGGAGTGGGAGGTTGGGGGTAGCAGATGTAAGCTGTTATATGGAATGGATAAACAACAAGGTCCTACTGTATAGCACAGAGAACTATATTCAGTATCCTATGATAAACTATAATGGAAAAGAGTATTTAAAAAAAGAATGTGGGGCTCCCCTGGTGGCGCAATGGTTGAGCGTCCACCTGCCAATGCAGGGGACACGGGTTCGAGCCCTGGCCTGGGAAGATCCCACATGTCACGGAGCAGCTAAGTCCGTGTGCTACAACTACTGAGCCTGTGCTCTAGAGCCCGTGTGCCACAACTGCTGAGGCCTGCGTGCCAGGAGCCTGTGCTCCACAAGAGAAGCCACCACAATGAGAAGCCTGTACACTGTAACCAAGAGTAGCCCCCGCTCGCCTCAAGTACAGAAAGCCTGTGCACAGCAACAAGGACCCAACACAGCCAAAAATAAATAAATTAATTAATTTAAAAAAAAGAATGTATATATATGTATAACTTAATCACTTTGCTGTACAGCAGAAGTTAACACAACATTGTAAATCAACTCTACTTCAATTTTTAAAAAGTGCTGGGATTATAGGTGATTTTTACTTTCTTTTTGGTGTTTTTCATATAAAAAATTTAAACACTCAGCAAAACAAATACCATCCTTTTGTTCTCAAAGAGCTCAGGATCGAGTGGGGAGACAGATACAGATCCAGGTAATCACAACAAAACACTGTTTGTGGCAAGGGCTGTGGAAGCACAGTGGAGGTAGTGGAAGGCTTTCTGGAGGAGGTGACATTTTGACTCTGGTCTTCAAAGACCTCAAGGAATCAGCCAAGTGGAGAAGTGGAGCTAGAACTCCTCTGGTGGAAGGAAAGGCAAAGTTGCGAGAGAAAGCGTGAGGTTCTGGAAGCGTCTGTAAAGCTCAGGAGCTGAAATGCAGCTTGCCTGCTGGGAGTAGCTGGAGAGTGAAAAGTTTTACCAGGGGAGTGACAGATTTGTATTTTGGGTGGATCCTCTGGCGAGGTCTTTTCTGGGTTGAGGTTAGAGACATTGCTCTCAGGCAAAGGCTGGAAACTAATAAGATGTAAACACAGACTTTCCCATTCACCTCGGAATTTCAGCTGAGGCCCCAAAGGCCAGACCTGCTAAACTTAAAGTGAGAGGCTGAACCACCCATGCAGAACTCTGGAGGAGGAGAGAGGGCAGGACTAAAAGCCATTGCTCAGCTAACCTGACTGCCACGGAGAGAAAGTCAACATCCCCCAGGAACCGCCGGAGAGAAGACTCTTCCGAGAGAGTTGTCAGCGCATTCACTCTGCCCGTCCCCCAACCACACCTTACCAGGGAGGGGAAGGAGCTCTCCCCCGTCACCTCGAACCAGGGGAGAGAGGCTTTGGGAGAACTATTTGGGGAGCCTTGAAGGTGGGGCTGTGAGGTCTGGAATCTGGTGAGTGGGGGGGGAGCGCTTCTAGTCAGGGGGCTGTACTTCCAGCTGTGTGTTTCTCTTAGGGCACCTGTAGATCCCACAGTAAGGAGAAGGATGAGACCTTCTTGGAAAGCACCCCGTGGAAGAGGGCTTCCGCTCAGGGGAGAGGGGACTCCCGCAGAGTGAGGCTGCAAGTGTGAGGAGGGATGCAGAAGCCAAGGGGCTGTAAACAGCCCCAAAGAGGAAGCACCCCCTTTTTTTAGGGGTACTGTAGCCGAATGGTGTGGTAGGTCTCCCAGGAGCCTATCAGAAGTGTTCCTGAGAGAAAATGTCAGTATCTGGAACCTGCCAAGACCAGAGGGCTCTATCGTAGGTAGACCTTCCTGGCTGAGACTACCCCACCCCCTCCCCCCAGCTCTGGAGTGCCAGAGGCAGCCGGGGCAGGGGCAGGAGGAGCTGAAAAGCGAGGCGAGAGAGGCTGCCCAGGCCCCTCCCCAGCCAGCAGGTGTCCCAGCCAGAGGTGGCCAGAACAGGGGCAGTTTTGCTTTAACACTGGCCTGCGCGTAGAGTGCCTGACAATAACCGGGAGGCTCTCGGAAAGCTAGGGGACCTGCCGAGATTTCATCCGGTTAAAGTAAAGCATGAGTCCGCAGAATCGGTTCGAAAGGGCAGTGGTAGGAAAGAAAGAAATCGGCTCCGTGCTTTCCAGCTGCTGAGTCAAACCCCTTTCTTTAATAAACAGCTACGAAACCTTAATGACGCCTATCTGGTGAATGCGGTCTTAAAAACGATGAGAGGATTTTCCTCCCACTGTCTCCCGCATCGGCCAACCCTTTTTATCAAAGCGAGACGGACAATTACCGCTTGGAAACTCGTGTGTTTCCGCTGGCGACGTGTCTCGTCGCGCTGGCGGGGGCTCAGGGACGCAATAGCTGGCTCGGGCGGCGGCGGCGGCGCGGGCGGAGCACCGGTCCTGGCCTGCCCTGCCCTGCAGCGCCCCCTGCTGACCGAAGCTGCAGCGGCTGGCACCCCCGCCTTGCGACCCAGCTTTGGGGCTGGAAGCCGTCCTGCCTTCCTGGAGTCTGCAGGCTTTGAGGCCAGACAGGCATTCGGGAATTGAACGGTCAAACGAGAGGTGTACACTTGCCACTGGGATGAGAGCCTATCCGATAGGGGAGGGGGCTGATATGGTCAGAAAGGTCAGCCGCGGAGGGTGAGGCTGGGCAAAAGGGCTGAGGTGGGAAGTGGGGGTAGTGGCGTTTGGGAGAGTGCAGCATGCTGAGGAGTCACCGGTATTCCTGCTACTTAGTGTCTCTGGGCATTTGCCCAAGCTGGTACCTCTACCTGGAAAACATTTCCCACTTTCCTTTTCCGTTTTTTGGTTTGTTTTTTTTTTTTGGTTCTAATTACTGAATGTATTCACAAATATGAGAGAATGAATATATAAATATCCATGCACCCATCACTCAGCTCAAGAAATAAGACCTAACAAATAGAAAGTACCCATGTACTCCTCCCTTTCACCCTCCTTCTTCCCAGAGCTGGCTCCTTAAGTTGATGTTTTCATTCCCATGTAAGTTGTTTTTTTTTTTTTTTTTTTTTAGGGAAGTCGTGTGACCCTATGCCCTCATACTTTGAATCATCAAGACTAAATTTCATCGTCTAGAATCTGCTTTAAAAATTCAGTGTGTCTGTGACCCTCTAGGACTGAATGATAGGAGTCGTTCTTACATTTGGGGTTGACTGTGCAATTATTTATTTTTTTTTCATTTTAACATCTTTATTGGAGTATACTTGCTTTACAATGGTATGTTAGTTTCAGTTTCACAACAAAATGAATCAGTTATATATATACATGTGTTCCCATATCTCTTCCCGCTTGCGTCTCCCTCCCTCCCACCCTCCCTATCCCACCCCTCCAGGCGGTCACAAAGCACCGAGCTGATCTCCCTGTGCTATGCGGCTGCTTCCCACTAGCTATCTACCTTACGTTTGGTAGTGTATATATGTCCATGCCTCTCTCTCGCTTTGTCACAGTTTACCCTTCCCCCTCCCCATATCCTCAAGTCCATTCTCTAGTGAGTCTGTGTCTTTATTCCTGTTTCACCCCTAGGTTCTTCATGACATTTTTTTTTCTTAAATTCCATATATATGTGTTAGCATACGGTATTTGTCTCTCTCTTTCTGACTTACTTCACTCTGTATGACAGACTCTATGTCTATCCCCCATGTAAGTTTTTATTTACTGTATATGTAACCATAAATAATATATAGATGCATGAAATCAGGAAAATTGTAATTTATTATATTTAGAATATAGATATAGAATGTATGCTATATGTGTATACTTTAATATAGTATATGTATGGGGCTTCCCGGGTGGCCCAGAAGTTAAGAATCCACCTGCTAATGCAAGGGGACATGGGTTCAACCCCTGATCTGGGAAGATCCTACACACCGCAGAGAAACTAAGCCCGGGCACCAAAACTACTGAGCCTGCGCTCTAGAGCCAGTGAGCCACAACTACTGAGCCCGCCCGCCTAGAGCACATGCTCCACAACAAGAGAAGCCATCAGGCCCCACTTCTAATTCTAGTTCTCTTGCTGTTTCCACATCTGCAGTTTTTTCCTCCACTGAAGTCTTGAACCCCTCAAAGTCATCCATGAGAGCTGGAGTCAACTTCTTCCAAACCCCTGTTAATGTTGATATTTTGACATCTTCCCATGAATCAAGAATGTTCGTTCTTTTTTTAAAATAAATTTATTTATTTATCTATTTATTTATTTATGGCTGCATTGGGTCTTTGTTGCTGCGTGTGGGCTTTCTCTAGTTGCAGCAAGTGGGGGCTACTCTTTGTTGTGGTGCACGGGCTTCTCATTGCGGTGGCTTCTCTTTCTGCGGAGCACAGGCTCTAGGCACATGGGCTTCAGTAGTTGTGGCTCGCAGGCTCTAGAGCACAGGCTCAGTAGTTGTGGCGCACGGGCTTAGTTGCTTCGCGCGCGGCATGTGAGATATTCCCGGACCAGGGCTCAAACCCGTATCCCCTGCATTGACAGGCAGATTCTTAACCACTGCGCCACCAGGGAAGTCCAAGAATGTTCTTAATGGCATCTAGAATGGTGAATCCTTTTGAGAAGGTTTTCAATTGAATTGGCCCAGATCCATCAGAGGCATCACTACTTGTGGCAGCTATAACCTTAGGAACTGTGTTTCTTAAATAATAAGACTTTAAAGTCAAAATTATTCCCCGAATCATGGGCTACAGAATGAATGTCACGTTAGCAAGCATGAAAACAATCTTGTTGTAGCTCTCCATCAGAGCTCACAGGTGACCAGGTGCGTTGTCAATGAGCAGTCATATTTTGAAAGGAAACTCTTTTTCTGAGCAGTAGGTCTCAACAGTGTGTTTAAATTAGTCAGTTAACCATGTTGTCAACAGATGTGCTGTCATCCACATTAGAGCACAGGCAGAGTAGATTTAGCATACTTCTTAAGGACCCTAGGATTTTGGGAATGGTAAATGAGCATTGACTTCAACTTAAAGTAACCAGCTGCATTAGCCCCTAGCAAGAGAGTCAGCCTGTCCTTTAAAGTTTTGAAGCCAGGCATTGACTTCTCTCTAAGTATGAAAGTCCTAGGTGGCATTTCTTTCCAATATTAGGCTGCTTCATCTATATTGAACATCTGTTGTTTAATGTAGCCATCTTCCTTAAATGTCTTAGCAAGATCTTCTGGATAACTTGCTGCAGCTTCTGTATCAGCCCTTGCTGTTTCACCTTCTATGTTATGGAGATGACTTCTTTCCTTAAACCTCATGAACCAACCTCTGCTAGCTTCAAACTATTCTTCTGCAGCTTCCTCACCTCTTTCAGTCTTCATAGAGTTGAAGAGAGTTAGGGCCTTTGACTTAAAGGAATGTTGTGGCTGGTTTAGTCTTCTATCTAGACCACTAAAACTTTCTCCATATCAGCAATAAGGCTGTTTTGCTTTCTTATCATTCGTGTGTTCACTGGAATAGTACCTCTAATTTCTTTCAAGGACTTTTCCTTTGCAGTCACAACGTGGCTAACTGGTACAAGATGCTTAACTTTTGGCCTATCCCAGCTTTCGACATGCCTTCCTCAGTAAGCTTAATCATTTCTAGCTTTTGACTTAAAGTGAGAAATGTGTAACTCCTCCTTTCACTTGAACACATAGAGGCCACTGTAGGGTTATTAACTGGCCTGATTTTGATATTGCTGCATGGCCTGAGGAGAGGGAGAGAGATGGGGCAATGGCTGCTTGGTAGAGCAGTCAGAACACATGCAACATTTATCTATTAAGTTTGCCATCCTATATGGGCACAGTTTGTCATACCCCAAACAAATTGCAATAGTAACATGAAAGATCACTGACCACAGATAACCACAGATAACCACAACAAATATAGTAATAATGAGTGACTTCCCTGGTGGTCCAGTGGTTAAGACTCCCCACTTCCACTGTTGGGGGCACAGGTTTGATCCCTCATCGGGGAACTAAGATCCCACATGCCATGCTGTGCAGCCAAAAAAAAAGAAAAAGAAAAATTTGAAATACTGCAAGAATTACCAAAACTTGACACAAAGACATGAAGTGAGCAACTGATGTTGGAAAAACGATCCTGATACAGATTCTGAATAGCCAAAGCAATATTGAGAAGAACAGTCCTGAAGTTATCATGTGCCCTGACTTGAGACTATACCCTAAAGCTACAATAATCAAAACAGTATGGTGCTGGCACAAAAACAGACACATAGATCAATGGAACAAAATAGAGAGCCCAGAAATAAAACCACACAATATGGTCAATTAATCTATGACAAAGGAGGCAAGAATATGCAATGGAGAAAAGACAGTCTCTTCAATAAGTGGTGCTGGGGAAACTGGACAGCTACATGTAAAAGAATGAACTTAGGGCTTCCCTGGTGGCGTAGTGGTTGAAAATCCACCTGCCAATGCAAGGGGCACGGGTTCGAGCCCTGGTCTGGGAAGATCCCACATGCTGCGGAGCAACTAAGCCTGTGCATCACAACTACTGAGCCTGCGCTGTAGAGCCCGCATGTCACAACTACTGAAGCCCGCATGCCTAGAGCCCGTGCTCAGCAACAAGAGAAGCCACCGCAATGACAAGCCTGCGCACTGCAACGAAGACTAGCCCCCGCTCACCGCAACTAGAGAAAGCCCACGTGCAGCAATGAAGACCCAATGCAGCCAAAAATAAATAAATAAATAAAATAAATAAATTTATAAAAAAAAAAAAAGAATGAACTTAGAACATTCTATAACACCATATACAAAAGTAAACTCAAAGTGGATTAAAGACCTAAATGTAAGACCTAAAACCATAAAACTCCCAGAAGAAAACATAGGCAAAACGCTCTTTGCTATATATCATAGCAATATTGTTTTTGGATCTCTCTCCTAAGGCTCCCTAGGGGGAGCCCAGTAAAAGTGTACTGAATGAAAACAACAGAGGAAGGAGTGAAGAAATATCTGGGAAGCACACCAAGGATAGACAGGTCCCCACAATTTTCATTCATTCATCCTTTCAGTCAACAAACCGAGGAAAATTTCCTGAGCTCCTGGGGTCATAGGGAAGAGGTAGACCTGTCTCTTGCCCTCAAGGACCCCAGGTAGAGGAGAGACAGACATGTTTTCCATATGAGTGACTACTTTTGTCTGGTCACAGAATTTTAAAATATAATAGCTTTATAGTAAATGATATATATGGCAGGTGAAGTCCTTCCAGGGGAGTGAACAAAACATGGTTGAAAATATAATTTGGAGTCCCAGGCTCCTCATCAATAAGGTAGAGGTTGAGTTGCAGGAGTGCTAGAGTATATCCAGCTCTGATAATCCAGACCTTTGTGACTGACTGACTAGGGAGCACTTTGTTTTCCTATCAACCCCCCTCTTTACTACTCAGCAAGCTCAGAAGCCTGTAGGCTGCCCCGGGAGCCAGTTGCATCAGCTGGAAGAGGGCTGGGTCTTCCCAGAACGGGGGGAGGGGTATGATAGGGAGGAAGACCAGAGTGGAGGCTGGTCAGGAAGACCTGCCAGCTTCCTGGGTTGACGCCAGTTTGCCACTCACAAGGAGCCTTTGTAACAGTGGAGTTTGCAGTGGATTCCCCAAGCAGAGATACTTCTATTCCCAAGGGACAGAAAAGGCCTGGGCCTCTTAGGGTAACCTGAGGACTCCAGGGCCCTGCTGCTCCCTCAAATAGCTCTTTCTTCGCTGGTCATTTGACTCTTTTAATTTAATTTTATATTTTTTTTAATTTTTGGCTGTATTGGGTCTTCGTTCCTGCGCGCGGGCTTTCTCTAGTTGTGGTGAGTGGGGGCTACTCTTTGTTGCGGTGCGCGGGCTTCTCACTGTTGTGGCTTCTCTTCTTGCGGAACACGGGCTCTAGGCGTGAGGGCTTCAGTAGTTGTGGCTCGCGGGCTCTAGAGCTCAGGCTCAGTAGTTGTGGAGCACGGGCTTAGTTGCTCTGTGGCATGTGAGATCTTCCCAGACCAGGGCTCGAACCCTTGTTTCCTGCATCGTCAGACGGATTCTTTTTTTTTTTTTGAGGTACGCGGGCCTCTCACTGTTGTGGCCTCTCCCGTTGCGGAGCACAGGCTCCGGACGCGCAGGCTCAGCGGCCGTGGCTCACGGGCCCAGCCGCTCCGCGGGACGTGGGATCCTCCCGGACCCGCAAGAACCTGCGTCCCCTGCATCGGCAGGCGGACTCTCAACCACTGCGCCACTAGGGAAGCCCCAGATCATTTGACTCTTGATGCCTCGGAATCCTCCATTCAGAGGATTGTAGTTTTTTAGTTTGAAAGAGCCTCTATTGAGTTCAACTCCTCGATTTACCCGGTTGGAAACTGAGGCCTAAAGAGGTAAGATGACTTGCTTAAGGTTCCCTAGAGAGTTAGTTGTGCCTTTAAGGAGAATATTTTATGATTGGTAGCACTGGCTGTTCCCTCTGCCTGCAAGACAGAGCTTCCAGAAGCTGAGAACATTTACATCTCAAATGTTTCTTTTTTCCCTGGGGCAATTACCATGCTTGGAGTGAATTCCTGACCCGCCGGTCCCGCTGAAATAGAGATTCAGGAGGTCCTGGGCAGGGCCTGAGAATCTGCATTTCTGACGAGCTCTCTGGTTATTGGATGCTTCTGGTCTGTAGACAACATTTGTAGTAGCAAGGCTCTAGCTTATTAATTTATTTTATTTTCTTCCTAGTACATGTCATGATGTGATATTATCATATTTAACTGTGCATGTGTTCATCATAGCTTTCTTCTCACTAGATATAAACTGTCTGAGTGGGGCACCTTGACCCCCTCGTGCCCTGTTACATCCCCAGGCCCAGCACAGCACAGACACACTGCAGGCTCTCAGTGCATGAAGTCCCCCCAGTGACAGAGGGAGTCTGGTTCTGGAGGGCAGGGACTTTGTCCGGTTTTCTCTTGACTCCTCATGGCACAGCAGGGGGTCAAAGTACACAGCAGGGGCTCAGTGACTCTTGACCCCCTATGTTCTCCAGTAGGTCAGAACTGGAGTGACAAACAGCCTGAGGTCCATGGGTATCAGGTGACATGAGTGTGTGTATATAAATCATTTTTAAAACTAGAAAACTTGTCACAGCCTAGGTCTGAGTCCATTCTGTAGCTGCCTGGGCTCAAGCTCAGCCAGGGTTACTTGGAGTCTGGCTTTCCCAGGGCACTTGATCAGCTTACCCCTGGCACCACGGTCACATGGTGTTCCTGGCCTGGCCCT